GGGACATTGCGCATTGTTCACACACACACAGTCAGAGCTGTAAAAACGCACAGCAGTTATTGGATGGGCCTGGTTGCCATAGCTCTTTAAATGGCAAACATTTTTGTTAATTGTTTAGATTGAATTCAAATTTGAAAACGTTAGTTGAATGAATTAAAGAATACATCTTCAGAGATGGGTCCAATTTCCTTAAACCCTCCAATAAGGTATCCCTTTATCGCTTTGAATGATTAATAAAGCTTTTGGTGGGGTTTGTATATCAACTCTGCAAATGAGATTTCAAATTTTGAACAGTTATTGTTCTAAGGTTTGGACACAGCTGCATCTAAACTGAATTCTTTAGATTTAGAGACGATAATTACGATTTTAGTTTAGTCGCCTTCTACAACCATTTGTTAACTTTCCAATTCAAGACCCAATGTAAATAGAACTTTGTTGCTTTCCTTATTATCCATGAATAACTTCCGAAGGTTCTACCGAACAAGAAGGTTATGGGAGGATTATGAGACATTAAATTATGAACAGCTAACCATCGAAGAAGAATTTTTAGGTTCATAGACGATAGTCTTCGACATATAACTCAAGATCCAATTTAAAAAGAAGTTTGTTGCTTTCCTAATTATCAATAAATAACATCCGAAGGTTATACCGAACAAGAAGGTTATGGAAGGATTCTAATATCAGACAATAGATAGCTTTGGTGAGCAAAATATCACGGAAAATAAGATTATGAACAAAGATCTGTTGTCTTCCTAAAACAGAACAACCAAATTACCTCTGAATCACATCCTTGTGATGAACAAGGAAAGCTTTAACCGTCCATGAAGCAAAGACCCAATTTAAACAGAACTTTATTAATATCCTAATTTTCTATGGCTAACTTCAGAAGGTTCCACCGAGCAAGAAGGTTATGGAAGGATTCTCAAGTCAGACGGAGAGACAGCATTGGTAGGTGGACAAATGATTCTGTCACAAAAAATGAGATTATGAACAAAACTCCGTAACCTTCCTAAGCATTAAACAGCGCAACCAAATATCCTCTGAATCACATCTTTGAGATGGACATCTAAATATCATCTTCAGAATAAAGAAAGCTTTAACCGCTCAAGAAGCAAAGACCCAATTTAAACAGAAATTTATTAATATCCTAATTATCTATGACTAAATTCATAAGGTTCCACCGAACAAGAAGGTTATGTAAGGATTCTCATGTCAGACGGAGAGACAGCATTGTTGGACAAAAGATTCTGTTACGGAAAATGAGATTATAAACAAAGCTCCGTAACCTTCTTACGCATTACCGCTACGCGCTACCAAATTAACTCTGAGCCATAACTTCGAGATGATCATCTAAATTCCATCTTCAGTATAAGGAAAGCTTTGATAGCCCATGAATCAAAAGGTTATATTGTTGAAGTGATGTATTCTGAGATCTCCAGATCTCGCTTTTCAGAAGAAAACAAAGATACAATTGTTAAAGAAGAACAACTTTGGGAACACACTTTTGGAAGATTCCGCAGTACATGTCATCCATCAGTTTCATGTTGGATTTCACCAAAAGAGACATAGAAAACTTCGATGTCACTCTGATGAATGCATCTTCACACTAGATATGCAAATGATCGAGAATCCATCTGTTCCCAGTTTCCTACAACATTCGCAAGGACGTCATCAATTTATCGATCGTGGAGGAAAGTTTGACTCGGAAACAGGTTGACGTGGAATGACTTTCAACGATTGCAGATAAATGTGTTTGATAGACATATCGACCAGGGATATTTAGACCCGATAATGGTTTTCGACAATACTCTATGGAATGTTTTTGATATTTCGTAACAGTGGAAGTCAAAGGATCGATCAAAATAGTCATTTTCTCAGAATAAACGTGAAACAAATAAGTCCAAGTAGTTATTGGGATATACATAGGTTTTAAAGATATGTATTTAAATGATTGACAGTTCGACCCATAAACATAAAAATTTATTGATATGTTATACACGTTGGCAATCCTAACCCCAAAACAAAGAAGAAAACAACATAAAATCTGCATGAGAAATTGCTACATAATACTATTTTGTGTGGTCATTACATAGATGTGAGATGAAAATAATGTTAAAGAAGTAGAAGACGACGCAAAAAAGGTGGCTGCTACAAAAGGAAGAAAAAAAAGCTTTCGTGTTTTTCATAAAAAAAAACAAACAGAGATGCAGCCATAGTTCGTTGTTGTTGTTGCTATATTGTGCCACGCATCAAATAATCAGCGCACAAAATTTTACTCACATAAGTGCTCCGGTCCGTCATCATACATAAATACAACAAACATTTAACAAGAAAATTATAAAAGAATATGTTGCAAGTAGTTTTATGTACGAATGTTAATACGAATAAAGCAGCAGTCGCCAAATGTAGCAACAACAACAACAACGGCAGCAGCTACTAAATACAACAACAACAAAAATTAAAGGTGTTACTGGTAACTGTACAAACACAGTTGGCAACAAAAAATATACGAATTTGTTAAAAATAACAGCGAATTAAATATGAAAAAGCGAATAAAAGCAACTTTTTCTGAAATTTCTTAAAAATATCTCTTTTTTAAAGTCTTAAATGTTTTCGTCATCCTTTGTTGGATTTATGGGAAATTGTATTAAATTTTTTTTTAGTTTAAATATTAATAAAATGGTATATTTTTACAACCAATAAAATTATTTTCTTTATGTTAAACGAATTCGCTTAATCCCATCATCTGCTTAATAAACACAAAATAATGATAAATTTTTAAGCGCTTAAGAAAACAACAAAAACACACAATTTAATGATGATGGGTTTTGTTCCCAAAAAGAGGGTTGCCAGGTTGCGGTGAAATTGCAGTTTGGCATAGGTTTCCCTACGTGGCAGTCTACAGTAATGCTTAAAGGCAGTCCATAGTCCAGATGTCAGTCTATAGTCCAGACTATAGTCAGTCTATAGTTCAGACTATAGTCAGTCTACAGTCCAGACTATAGTCAGTCTACAGTCCAGACTATAGTCAGTCTTTAGTCCAGACTATAGTCAATCTGTAGTCCAGACTATAGTCAGTCTACAGTCTAGACTATAGACAGTTTATAGTCCAGACTATAATCAGCTTATAGTCCAGACTATAGTCAGCCTACAGCCCAGACAATAATCAGCCTATAGTCCAGACTACAGTCTGTCTATAGTCCAGACTACAGTCTGTCTATAATCCAGACTATAGTCAGTCTATAGTGCAGACTATAGTCAATCTATAGTCCAGACTATAGTCAGTCTATAGTCCAGACTATAGTCAGTCTAAAGTCCAGACTATAGCCAGTCTGGACTTTAGACTATAGACAGTCTATAGTCCAGACTATAGACATTCTATAGTCCAGAGTAGAGTCAGTCTATAGTCCAGACTAAAGTCAGCCTAAAGTCCAGACTATAGTCAGTCTGGACTTTAGACTATAGACAGTCTATAGTCCAGGCTATAGACAGTCTATAGTCCAGGCTATAGACAGTCTATAGTCCAGGCTATAGACAGTCTATAGTCCAGAGTATAGTCAGTCTATAGTCTAGACTATAGTCCATACTATAGTCAGTCTATAGTCCAGACTATAGTCAGTCTAAAGTCCAGACTATAGTCAGTCTGGACTTTAGACTATAGTCAGTCTATAGTCCAGACTTTAGTCAGTCTAAAGTCCAGACTATAGTCAGTCTGGAATTTAGACTATAGACAGTCTATAGTCCAGACTATAGACAGTCTATAGTCCAGAGTATAGTCAGTCTATAGTCTAGACTATAGTCCATACTATAGTCCGTCTATAGTCCATACTATAGTCCGTCTATAGTCCATACTATAGACAATCTATAGTCCAGAATATAGTCCCCACTATAGTCTGTCTATAGTCCCGACTATAGTCTGTCTATAGTCCCGACTACAGTCTGTCTATAGTCCCCACTATACTCTTTCTATAGTCCCGACTATAGTCTGTCAATAGTCCCGACTATAGTCTGTCAATAGTCCCGACTATAGTCTGACTATAGTCCCGACTATAGTCTGACTATAGTCCCAACTACAGTCTGACTATAGTCCCAACTATAGTCTGTCTATAGTACCCACTATAGTCTGTCTATAGTCCCGACTATAATCTGTCTATAGTCCCGAATACAGTCTGTCTATAGAACCGACTATAATCTGTCTATAGTCCCCACTATAGTCTGTCTATAGTCCCCACTATACTCTTTCTATAGTCCCGACTATAGTCGGTCTATAGTCCCGACTATAGTCTGTCTATAGTCCCGACTATAGTCTGTCTATAGTCCCGACTATAGTCTGTCTATAGTCCCGACTATAATCTGTCTATAGTCCCGACTATAGTCTGTCTATAGTCCCGACTACAGTCTGTCTATAGACCCGACTATAGTCTGTCTATAGAACCGACTATAATCTGTCTATAGTTCCGACTATAGTCTGTCTATAGTCCCCACTATACTCTTTCTATAGTCCCGACTGCAATCTGTCTATAGTCCCGAATATAGTCTGTCTATAGTCTCCACTATAGTCCGTCCATATTCCAGACTATAGTCAGTCTGTAATCCCGACTATAGTCAGTGTATTGCCACACAGAACCACTTCCGATATTGTCACAATTACTTACGCCAACATATATCCAAATAAATAAATAATATTTTCCAAAATATATATATTTAACACTTATTTCAACTTCACACATTTCATTTGATTTCACAATAAAAGAGAAATTACTTTTCATCATTTAACACTTAATAACAACGTAGACCAACTGGAGAAAGAAAATAATAATAGAAGTGCAGATGTCGTAATAGAATTGGTGCAAAATCGTTTTTACAATAAACCAGTTTCAATTTTCTATTTATGTTTGCATTAACTGAAAAAAAAACAGCCAGCGATTAAATAATTACAAGCGAAAAACAACAAATATCGAATATAAAACTGCCCTGTCACTTGCGATATCAAAGTGTTGATGAGCCAGACACGCTGTATATACTGAGCCAATTATCACCTTGAACTTGAAGCATAAACAAAATATATTTATGGAGAAGAGGCTTAAAAATGGTTGAAAATTTTGAACTGCATATAAAAAGCTGTGATAATGATGGCTTACTATAACAGTTAGTCGCTGAGTGTGTAACAAGTGCAAGTAGAGAGAAAAAAAAAAAATAAAACGAAAATTTTAGAAAAATTAATTTTAACGAAAAGGACATTTTTTGAAATAATTTATTGAACTATATATTTAGTGCTAAAAGTGAACGAAATGCATAAAAATACTTTATGGTTTATATTTGCAATACTTTGCATTTATTTTTCATTAGTTTTATGTGAAGAAAATACGACTACATCTATACAAGAATTGGAATCAAAGGATTCTCACGATTTAGTAAAGAGAAGTGATATTACTGATCTGCTGGAGGAAGAGCAGGGCAGAACAAGAAGAAGACATCGTCATCATTTGTGTAAGTTGAGTTGTGCGAAGGATATACATAAAAAAGTGATTGGAATAAAAGTGTGAAAACTTTGAAAGATTTGCGACATCAACAATCTAAAATAATGTTTAGATTTCGGAAAGGATATTCCTATAAATTTGCATAATATTCTATGGATCTTCGAAATGGGGTTTGAAAGATTGCCAACCTCTTACAAGATCTCCAGTTGATTTGTTTGATATTTTTCAAACTTCTGAAAAATTTCGGAAGTCATAAGTCAGTTTGAACCATTTAATAGTCAGTCTAATGATATTGAGAAATTTTACGGGATTCCTTGTTCAGCTTGGTTACTAAATGTTATAAAATATTGCATTGGAATTGAAAGGATCATCACGGTCTGCCCAATTTCAAATGATTACGTTCTTAAACTGGAATGTTATTCTATAGATGATCACGATCTCCTCAATTTCAAATTGTTACGTTTATAAACTGGATTGTTATTCGATTCGGTTGTCCTAAAATAAAGTTCTCGGCTGTTTTTCATTCAGTAATGCTTTTATCTTAAAATTCTCTTGTGTTTCTAAGTTAGGAATCCTAACTTGTTCTAAAATAGACAACAACTTAGGAGAGTTTTCATTCTGAAAACATCTCAAATAGTTTGTTATATTTACTCTATTTGTCCTAAAGGGCCAAAATCTTCAAAAAAAAGGAAGCTTCATCAGCTTCTTCTTCTTCAGTTAAACGAATTTTTATATTCGTATCTTGGTCTCTTAACTGATCTCTCAATTGCTCTTAGATTCCGGAACATTTGCAAAATCCTGAAATAGTGTGGGATATCAATTTACTCTATTTGTCCTAAAGGACCAAAATCTTCCAAAAAAGGAAGCATCATCAGCTTCTTCTTCTTCAGTTAAACAAATTTTTATATTCGTATCTTGGTCTCTTAACTGATCTTCCAATTGCTCTTAGATTCCGGAACATTTGCATAATCCTGAAATAGTGTGGACTTTTTATTCTCCATTAGGTTAAAAGCTTAATTGAAGAAAAAATCTTCAGTTGATTTTCCTAATGAAATCTTAGGAAGATCACTGATCTTCTTCATATCAAAATGCTTTTAGGATCTTGAACTTTTCCAAATTTTTCAAATATGTAGTTTGGGATCTGTATAGGAATTTAAACAAAGAACTGATATCGTTTATGTTTGATGGATTTGATTGGTCTATATCCGCTTAAACGTTGATCTGTTTACGTTCCAGATTGGTGGTACTTGTACTCTATAGTTGACTGTTGAAGAGTTAAAGTAGCGCAGAACGACTACCTCCGTATAGTGACTTCCAATTAATTTCTTAAAGCGATGTAATACTTTCCTAAATCTTTTGAGCTCTCCAAGAAATTTTAATCGAATCGGGAATTGTCTTTAAATTGAATAGTATCTTCAGTGATTTCTCTTCTAAATGCATAGGAAGATCATGTCAAATTGCTTTTAGAATCGAAAACTTTTTCGAATTCCTCAATTAGTTTGGAATATTATAAATTTTTAGTTGGATCCTTATAAGGTTTTAGAATTTCTAAAAGGATTTAATCGCTTAAACGTAGATGTGTTTGTGCTTTGAATGTTTGTGGAACATTTAAAGGTAACAAGCAACTCAAAAAATATTTAGTTGATCTCCTTTCAGTAAGCTCAAGAAGATCAATGATCTTTCTCATGTAAAATTGCTTTTAGGATCAGGAACTTTTCAAAATTCCTCAAATAGTTTGGGCATAAATGAAGTTTTGTTTATCTTCAATTGATTTTCTTTCAGGGAACTCAGAAAGATCATCGATCTTCTTAATGTCAAATTACTTTTACGATCAGGAGCTTTTCCAAGTTTCTCAAATAGTTTGGGATGTCTTTGAGATACATAGACCTTAAAGATTGTTTATGTTTGATCGATCATTTACAATATCCTTATAAATTTTTGAAATATTTAAAATACTTTATTAGCTAAAACGTAGATCTATTTACGCTTTAGAATAGTGGAACTAGTACCCGATAATTGAAGGAAACAACAAATTTCCAAACAAAACGACCTTCTCCAAGTCGTGACTTTAAGTTCTTTAACAAATCATCTTACAACTTCGAATCGTGATTTTAAATTCTTTTAAAACATAATTAACACATTCTTATATCATATTTTAGAGGTCAGCGGCAAAAAACAAATTCTATTTCATAATAATTGTAGCAATCCGTAGATGTATAACATGATTTAAAACCCATTAAAACCAAATTGCTGTATTTATTAAAAATTAGCACCCTAGAATCTATAAAATATATCTTCAAAATGTGTGAAAGTTGAACGGAAATTTTAAAGGAAAGTTTTTAACAACGAATGCAAATATTATGATCACGAACTCTTAATAACGTAATATGAAGTAAATAGTGCGATGATCGTTTGATCGATTCAAAACAATTCACACTTTTCACTTTTCAAATGCAGATGAAGTGTAAATAGAGTTTTTACAAAAAAAAAAAAAAAATTAAATAAATAAACCTAAACAAGAGAACAGACTATAAATAATAAATTGTGGTAGATCACGTACCCGTACCGAAGTTATGATGCAATTTATTAAGTAATAATTTATTTAATAATTTTTCAGCAAACAAGGGAAATTTTTTTTTTGGAAAGAGAAAGTTATATTTTGTTTAATTTTTTTGTTTCTTTATTACAGATGCACATTGGGGTTTCTATGGTTTGGCAATTGCTTATTTGATTAAGATCAAAGTGGTGGTGGTAGCTTTCTTTGTGGGCAGTGCTATATATTTGGGTTTGCGTTATTTGTGGCCTCATAAGTGTGGTGTTGGTTCCATTTACAAGGAGGGTTCTATTGTCCTAGATCATCCACCGTAAGTATTTCGTTAAGTAGACAGAAGAGAGAGAGAAAATATTTGTTAGGTATATTTCCAGATCCTTTGCTCATCATGATCATATACCCTATTCTTTGGATCATGATCATGATCACTATCATGATCATCATCATATCGGTAGCAGCAGTTCGTTTAGCAGCAGTGGTCCCACCTCATTTGAACCTTATTCGGCTTACTCTAGTAATGCATTCTCAGCTGAATCTGATGGTCCTCCAGAAGGATTTCCCTCGGATGGTCCTTTAGAGGGTTTTCCCGCAGATGGTCCTTTAGAAGGTTTTCCTTCGGATGGTCCTACATTTAGAAGCAAACGCAGTGTTGAGAAGAAGAGCGATGTTAAGACGGAAGTAAAGGAAACTCTTAAGAGTCTGGCTAGACAAATGGTTATCAGTGAAGAACAGTAAGTGATCTACAAGATTTTATATAATAAGGAAGATCCATTAATTTGTTATATTTGCTACAGAATTGGGGAATTCATGTTTGGTTTCTTGGGTTTAGACACCAGTGCCTGTCGTCGTCGTTTCATTTGTGAAATGGAATTTAAGTCCAGGGGAAATCCCTTAACATCCATGGGTTTCCGTATTATAGGACGCAGTTTCTTTGCCAAATATACCAACGATCAAAATCCCAATGGTAAAGCCAATAACTTTGGAGAATGTGCTGTCGTCAATTCGGAATGTGTGTTTATAGAAAATAATGAGGAATTTGAACCCGAACCAGAACCAGTTAAAGAACAAGATCATAACGAAGAAGATCATACTGAGACAGCTGAAGAACAATTGGAAACGAATAACAGTGAAAACGAAGTAACTACCGAAGACAATTCTTTAGAAAGTAATGATATTATAGAAAAAGAAAATGAAAAGAATTTAAAAGCTGAATTAAGAAGAAACTCCTATAGAAGGCGTCTTAGAGGAGATCGTTATTTGAAATTGTTGTAATAACTTTACAACCCTAGAAGAATAGAAAATAAGTAGAGAACCAACCAAATGTATAAAATTTTAAACATTATTTATTTTAATTAAATTATTTATTTATTATTAGTTTTAAGCTTTAAAATAAAACCTTGCCTAATTTATTAAACCTACACTATGGTAACCCTGTTTGAAAATTTATTAAAGTATTTAAAGTTAACTTTTATTTCTATGGCAAATTTTTCTTGAAAATCCTTTCAAACACCTTCTAACCCCACATCAAACCAAACACTTTTGAAAAATCTTGTTGATTCTAACGGAATTCGTGTTTCTGTTGCATCACACATGTTCCCCCAAACGATTTGCAACAACATACCGAAAAACTGGATTTGCAATAAAAATCCACCAAAAAAGTTTGAGAACAATTTTATCGTTAAACCAACATTATTAATGTTTGCCTGTTGTCACACGTCTGGATAAAAATAAACTTTTTCAGTCTGTTGCTAATGTTCAGATTTAATGGAACACATATGAACAAACGAACCAGTTGGTGTGAAGCACCAAATGTGTGTTGCATGTAGAAGAGAGGCAGACAAGCAAGCAAGCAGTCAATTGTCAGACATATATATTTTAAGAGACACGAGAATGCGACAACGTCGTCTATAATGATTAGGCGGATTTTTCATATTGTTTGTTGTTTTTTTGTTTGGTGTTCGTTGTTGTTCGTTCGTTGTTGTGTATTTTATTTCATAATCAATGTTGTTTGCGGTGAATAAGCTTTACACCCGACCTTCCGGAATTATATCGTTGATTGTTTGTTTTTTCACATTTTTTCGTTTCTTGTTTAAATTTGAGTAGATTTGTTCATATGGGGCGGAGGCGATTTGAAATTTTGTATAATAAAACAGGGTAATTCAAAGGAGATGAAAATAATGAAATAACGTACGTAACTCCTTCCGATCTTTAGGATATCATTCTAGAATCTGGATTTACGTAGAAAAGGGGGAGGAAAAAGTATTACCGATATCGTTAGATTCGGAAAAGTTCTCAAAGAGGAATATTCGCTATAGAATTCGTGAGTTAAGAACTGATCATTTTGATGAAATTAATTCCTACACAACAAGGATAACAATTCATTTATATCAGAAGAGCATTCCCAGATAAAGAATTTTGCTAATAGTTTCGGAGAAGTTCCCAAAGAAGAGCTGATATTCGCTAGAGTGTTCATAGGTTCAGAGAAGATTCTAAAGAAGAATATTCATTATAGAATTCGTGAGTTAAGAGCAGATGATAATAAATTAACTCTTATTATATCAATTCCTACACAACAAGGAAAAAATAGTTTCGGAGAAGTTCCAAAAGAAGAGCTAGTACTCGCTAAAGAGTTTCTTTACTTGATAATAACTGAACTCTTATCATATCAATTCCTATACAACAGTGAAAATCTTTAATATCGGAAGGAAATTCCCAGATATGGAACTTTGGGTATTATTACAAAAGATTTGATTTCTACTTACGATTGGACTATACGATATATTACACAACGGTTTTGCTTACCTGTAAAAAAAAAAAGAATTATAGAATTAATATTTGTAGTAATAATAAATATAAACTTTAACTTATTACAAAAAGTTGTTTAAAGCTATAGAATATAGTTTAGTTCAAGGGCTCAAGTCGTAGTTAAAGGACCGATAAAAAGTATTAATTGCAGTTGTCACACTTGAGCTGTTTTGGGATCAAAATCATTAAACATTGATGGTTTGTCTGTAATTTCTTAAATATGAAAACTTCTTTTGATTTCGAAGTAGTCCAATGCCCGTGGATCCGCGCCTGCACCAACTCATTTTCAACACTTAATCCCGCCGTCACTCCACTGCAGACAATGAATGTCCAAGTGTTTTACATGAACACTTGCCGTGTTGGCCTTATTTCACGGTGGTATTTTTCATCCACAGGGTGAGCTTCTTTGACGGCTCACCACCGCACCGTATATGGTTCTGCCGGTCCATGTGCAAGCACTAGTAGCCCCGTTGAGGAATGATAGGTATCATGAGTCAAGCTCAATCAAAGCCCGACAAAGGAAAAGGCAAACACATTTTAGAGCCGGCATTTTCATCACACTCAACCATAAGGGAAAATCGTTGATAAATTAAAGTTTAAGGTATCAACAACTCCGCTAACGTCTCAACCAACTCCACCATCACTCCATCCTACAGCACAGAATCAAGTATACAAGTACTCAATCTTTGCATTATCAGCTCAAATCCAATATTTTATTAGTCCACAGCCTTACCCGAAAAGCCCGAACATTTTAACCAAGTGTTCCTTCCCGAGAATTTGAGTTTAAACCACAGTCACTACGTGGATCCCGAAGGATCCAGCCAGGACAGTCCTGCGGGCAACTCAGCACCCCTAGTACCATTTTATTTGGTGCTCTTCAACCCCATGTCAAATTATTCAAAGGAAATGCTGAGGATGCATTTGCTCATCACCAGTTTATAGTTCCGGCAGAGTAGAGGTACTGATAGTACCTCTTAGTGCAATACACTAAGATGGAATCTATCATCATAGAAACATGCCCCGGGGGAACTTCTCTGCGGACATTCTCAACATTCTCTTACCGCGAGTTTGGGTTTAAATCACAGCCACCACGTGCACCCCGAAGGGATCTCCGAAATAACCGGTACAAAGAAAAGACTGAAACTCTGCACTGTGCTACCATATTATATAGCTCTCTCTCAGCCATTACGTGGATCTCGAAAGAACCGCAACCAACAGACCAGCCAGGACAGTCCTGCGTTCAACTAACCACCCGTAGTACCAGATTATTTGGTGCTCTTGTTGAACCCCATGTTAAATCATTCCAAGGAAAGGCGGAGGATACATTTGATCAACACCAGTTTATAGTCCCGACAGAGTAGAGGAATCTACGAGTTTGGGTTTATACCACAGCCACCACGTGCACCACGAGGGGACCTCTGAAATAAGGAAAAGACTGAAACTCTGCACTGTTATACCACATTATATAGCTCTCTGGTTTGACCCCAGATCAAAACATTCCAAGAAAAGGCCGAGGATACATTTGACACTTTTAATTTACAGTCCCTGCTGATACCACTATGGAGGTGTGACCCATCGATGAGAGGTCATTGCATCCATTAAGTGTCTAAATTTCGAGGGAAACATCATTTCCTGTTGTTATGACGAATGCGCTGATCGTTTCCTAATTAAAACTGCGATGACATGAAACATTCTCATTTAATCATATTCAACTCTGTTGATCTATGATTACTATGACTGAAGTAGTTCAGACTAACATGTTGTAATTCGTTGATTCAATTGATTCAAAAGTAACCAACTTTCTCCGAAAATTGAAGGACTTATTTCCCCCGACTAAGGACTTATTTCTCCCGACTAAACTTGAACAATCACCTCTAGGGTAAGATTTTTCGGGAGCACAAGTTTATAAGATTACAGATATTACAGATTAATACTGATTTAACATATTCCCCATAATGATCTTGAGATCGAATACCTAACAAATAATGTGGGAAAATTATTAATTAATAATAACATTTAACGGAACCTTACTACATAATTCCTTTCAAATTTAAATCACTCTAAAGTTAAAATTAGCTTAAAGCTATAAAAATTATACGTTTATTTAAACAAATTGCGTATTTTTCCAACATATAAAATCGATTTAGAGCGGTCAGTCATAAAAAACAATTATTACCAACATTAAACACCCTGTTTTTGAAAAGACACGCAAATAAAAACATAAAAGCAGTCACAGAACGCAACCCAACAACAAAAAAGTAAAATAAATAACACACGCTGAAGAAAAAATAAAAAAAAAACAATAAAACCAAAGTGTGCGAAATTACACTGAAACTGTTCCAACAGACGAAAGAACGAATGAACTAACGAACGAAAAACGACGATGACGACGTCGACAACAATCAAAACAAACAAGTTTTTTTTTTTTTTGTTCCTCAAAACATACCAACACACAATCAAACAAAAACTGACAGTAGTAGCAGAAAAAAAAAAAAACGAAAACAAAATAAAAACAAACGACAGCAATAAACAGCAACACAACGACCTTCTCTTTTTTATTCATTCAAAAAAACTTGAATTGTAAAAAAAGATGACGATATGACAAAATAATACGAATGAAATAACAAAAACAAAATAAAAACGAAAACATTCACGACGAGTAACTTTAAAATACTCTGAGCGCCGTATACAAAAAAGAATGAGAAGTCATAGTGGGTCTTTTATAAAAGCACAAGCAAGTCACTGCATGCATATGCTTGCCCGTCTGACAGTGTAAACAATAAATAATAATAACGAAAAGAAAAAAGTAAAAACAAACTGTTACTCGGTAATGACGACGACCTCGTCAAAAGTGAGTGTAAGGAACTAGTTATTAGAAGCTTTTTTTATATTTTGTGTATACAAACGTTTAAACGAGAGACAGAGAAAGATAACAAACTACAGAAGAAGAGAGAGAGAGCAAAATACAAGAGAGCAATAATGGCATAAAAAAATTGCATGCACTGAGTTGCAAAGTTAAGTTTTATTTGTCTTTAAACTTGTTTGTCGGTATTTGATGTTCGTTTGTATGTTCGTGTGCGTTCGTTTGTATGTTGTTGTTGCTTGATTTAGTTAGTAGGCTAATCATGTGTTTTGGTTTTCATCACTGATTCATTTAACACAACAACGTGCTAGCTGCTTGTTGTATGCTAAGATTAAAACGGCATGCCATGACATGCACGCGTTATTTTTGTGTGAGAATTCTCAGGCTGGAGCAGGGATGGAAAATTTTGTACTATTATAGTTTTTCAGTATTTTTTTGGCAAGACATAGGATAGATTGAGAAGAGGCTGTATAACAGACCAAATCAGAAGAAATACACCTCGGCTCAGAATCGGGCCTGTAGTGCGCTCCTTTCAATGGAAAATGTACTGCTTTATGCAGGTGTTCAGAAACTCAGTTTCCTGGAAATGGTCCCTTAATATTTTCCAATCAGTGTTCGTGAGGGATGTTGTATCTGGACATCGCTCCCAAAAAACCTTTTTAGATATAATTTCGACGAAAGTCTGGCAATAAAAAATAAAGTATTCCAGAGATTCACTATCCTCTCCTCATGCCCTAGATT